CCAATTCAAGCAACAGAAAATGATAAAAAGGTCATCCGAAGATTGGCTATGAGCTTTTTCTTGGATGGGGATGTTCTATATAAAAGAAGTCGTGATCAAGTATTACTAAAATGCATAAGTAAGGCTGAAGCAAGAAAAATCATTGAAGAGGTACATGATAGAATATGTGAGACACATGCCAATGGACATATGATGGTGAGACAAATCATGAGAGCAGGATACTACTGGTTGACAATGAAGAGTGATTGCATTGACTATGCTCGTAAATGCTAGATATATGCTGATAAGATCCATGTTTTGCCATCTGTTTTACATGTTATGACACCACCTTGGCCATTTTCAATGTAGGGCGTGGATGTCATTGGTTCTATCACCCCAAAGGCTTCTAACGGACATAGATTTATTTTTATGATGATAAATTACTTCACAAAATGGATGGAGGCAGCATCATATACAAATGTAACACGATCTATGGTTTGCAAGTTCATAAAGAGAGAGATCATCTGTAGATATAAATTTTTGAAGAGAATTATTTCAGATAATGTCAAGAATCTAAATAGTAAGATGATGTAATAAATATGTGCTCAATACAAGATCAAGCATCATAACTCGATACCATATCGTCCGAAAATGAATGGGGCAGTTGAGGCGGCCAATAAGAACATAAAAAGAATTCTTGAGAAGATGACCAAAACTTATAAAGATTGGCATGAGAAGTTACCATTTGCACTTCATGCATATCGAACGTCAGTGTGCACCTCTACTGGGGCAACCCCATTTTTTTTTGTTTATGGGATGAAAGCTGTACTACCAGTAAAAGTGGAGATCCCATCCTTAAGGGTTCTAAAAGAAGTTAAGTTGGAAGAGGCTGAATGAATTCAAGAACACTATGAACAGTTAAATTTCATAGAAGAAAAAGAGATTTACTACATTGTGCCATGGTCAGTTATATCAAAAGAGAATGATGAAAGCTCATGACAAAAAGATTCGACCCCGTTGCTTTCGAGAAGAAGAATTGGTCTTAAAGAGAATCCTCCCAATCCAGCATGACAATAGAGGAAAATGGACTCTGAATTAGGAAGGGCCATATGTGGTGAAACGGGCTTTCTCAGGTGAAGCACTGATACTGACTGAAATTGATGGGAATGATTTACCCCATCTTATAAATTCTGATGCTGTGAAAAAATATTATGCTTGAAAAAAAAAGAAAAACTAAAATGAAAAAATGAAAAAAAAAAAAAAAAGAAAAAAAATGGAAAGAAAAAAAACAAGAAAAGAGAAAGTAAATGAAAAAAAAGACTCAAGGCGAAAACCTTAAAAGGGCAGTTTGAGTCATAAGGGGGTTTATCTAAATTGAAAACCTAAAAAGACAGCTTAGATAAGAAGAATACAGTATCAAATTTAAAAATCCATTGGCATAGAGGCTAGCAAATTCGGAAGAGCTCTAAGTTGTTGAATACATCAAATGGTTGGGTTTTCAGAAAAATCTTGAGATGTGTTTCATAATTATCCGATTGTTCATTTTTGGGCTTTGTCTCCCAATACTTATCCTTGTAATTCTTCTTTGGCCAAAGTTTGTCAATATTTTGCTAATAAAAGACATTCTATTTCACTCTTTGTGTGCCTTTTCTGGTGACTGTTTCTCAATCATTCTTATTCTTTTCTTCTTAATACCCTACAATGGAAGAAATTTGCAAATGCATTCTTACTTTTTGAGATTGAAATAATGATTGATAAATGAATAATGGCATGCAAGATTTTTACATTACATTGAAGAAGTCAAGAGTGATAGAGGTAGAATCGAAATGTTCAGTTCCTAATAAGGACATTGAATTTGAAAAAAGATTTCTTACAGAAAGAATGTGAGAATTAAGCAGAAGAGATGATTGAAAGCTACACTGGCTCGATCTTAGAAGAGCAACGTAATTTGATCTTTGAAGAATCAAGGGTTTGAGACCCAAGAAAAGAGCTTGAGAAACTTGAGTACCACAATTGAATAAGAATCAATTAGCTAACATTTGCATAGCATACATTGAATTTCACACGCATCGCATAGCATATACTACATTTAAGAAAGTATAGTGCATAAATTCCAGAAACAAGGGTATTCCAAAATCCCACATAGAGAAGACAGATGTGAAGACAATTTCAAATTTGAGAAAAAGCTTGTCAAATAAGTTTCTAATTCTTGAAATAGGATATCTCTCGGTATCAGGGTTGATTTGTAAGACCTTTGGGCATAATCTCCTGAAATTCCTTTAAACACGATTTTCAACTCCTTTGGACATGATTGTCAAGGAGCAATTTATTTTTTGAAGTTGTGATGCCTCTGTTTAGAGGAGCAATTTATTTTTCGAAGTTGCGATGCCTCTGTTTAGAGGAGCAATCTATTTTCTAAAGATGTGATACCTCTATTCAGAGGAGCAATTTATTTTTCAAAAGTCGTCGAGCCTCTGACTAGAGGAGCAATTTATTTTCCAAAAGTCGTTGATCCTCTATTTAGAGAAGCTTTGTTTATCTTTTTAAAAGTCGTTGAGCCTCTGTTTAGAGGAGCTTTGTTTATTGTCCAAAATCATTAAGCCTCTGCTTAGAGGAGCCTTCATTTATTCTTCCAAAGTTGTTGAATATCTGTCATTGAGCCTCTACTTAGAGGAGCTTTGATCAAAATTTAAAAAAAAAAGCAAAAAAAAAGTGTCAAGTTGAGTCTTGAATAGGTGTCTACGTCTTTGCACAATTCTTGTTTCACAGAAAATGTTCAAAGAGGGGCAGCTGTAGATATCTAATTTGGTTCAGGCCCGGATCAATTGGGCTTAGTCCAAATGGGTAAGCCCATTTCAGTTTGTTTTATTTTATTTTTTATTCTGTATTTTGTATTTTATTTATTTATTATTTATTTATTATTACTATTTATTAATATATATATTTTTATTATTATTACTTATCTGTTTATATATCTATTATTATTATTGTTTATCTATTAATTAATATATTATATTTATTTATTTATTTTTCTTTTCTTTCTTTTTTTCTTTCCTTTTTCTGCTCACCCGATTGAAATTGGGATTAGGATAAAAGTTGGAGTTCTACCATGAATTTGAGGATTCAATCAGAGTCCAGATTGGATTCAAGGATTGAATTTCAGTCCAAGAGGGAATTTGGATTGATCAGAAACTCTTCTTATCAATCCATATAAATAGGTGCTGGAATAGAACAGAAGACATTGACAGAGAGAGCAAAAAGAGAAGGGAAAAAGCCGTTCAGAAAGGTCAGAAGCAATTTCAAGATTTTTTGAAGAATTTTAGGTGAATTTTTTTCTGGAAATTTCTGAAAAATTTCCAGATTTCGATTGAATTTTTTGACCAAGTTTGAGTTTTTCGACCAGTTACCCAATTTTCGGTAACTATTTTCAAAAACGATCAACTTTTCGGTGAACTTCCTACGAAAAACCTAGATTTCGGTGATATTTTTCAGAATCCGATGAGATTCAACTGAAGTTCTTCGTTGGTTTAGAGAGAGGAAGGAGAAAAGGAAATGAAGAGAGAGAGAGAGAGGATGAGAGATCTGCTGAAAAATAGAGGGGATAGCCTTTTATACTCGTTGAAAACAACGTCGTTTTGGTGTTACTATTCCCAGAGGATCCGCGCGTTTTGAAATTGGGTGATCCGACCCAAGCGTTGACCCGAGTGTGACCCGAGTGCTATCCGACCCCTAGAGTTGAGCCGAGTCGAGCCGACGCCCCGAGCCGTGTCTTCGAGCTACCCTTTCTTCCTCAAGTCGAGCCGAGCCGAGGTACTAAGCCGAGCCGTTCCAAGGTTTTTTTTTCATTATTTATTTATTTATTTATTATTATTATTATTATCATTATTATTATTATTATTTATTAATTATATTAGAATTATTTAGTATTTCTTATTTTATTTTATTTTATTCTATTTTTTCTTTATTTCTATTTCTATTTTTTATTTTTATTTATATTTTTATTTTCTTTAAATAAAATTAAAAAAATATATTTTTAAGGAAAAGTTGAAAGTATCAATTTTCCTTGAAAATAAGTTTTCTAAAATATATTTTTGAGGAAAAGTTAAAAGTATCAATTTTCCTTAAAAATAAGTTTCTAAAAAATATTTTGAGAAAAAGTTAAAAGTATCAATTTTTTTGTACAAAAGTGATGAATTTTTGAAGAGGAAAGGATTTATATTTAATGCTGAATCATTTTTTTATTATTATTTTTTTGTTTTCTTGAATTTTTTTTAACGTCAAATAATCCGATGATGGAGTCTCTGTAAGTAAAACAGTAGTTTCCTTGTATACTCTTGAGGTCAGGAAATTTTCTCAATTTTTTGCTAAAAGTATTAGAGTTAATTGAGAATAATTTCTAATAATTAATTACTTGGTAAAATTTTAAGGTTTATTAGATAACACAAAATTAAGCTAGTATCATCTTTCGATGGGCGTTGTGAGGGTGCTATAACCTTTCTCACACGTAACCAAACTCCCAAACGGTATTTTGGTTAGTAGACCCGAACCTATTCTTTTAGGGACCCTTAAGCTTAGGTGTTCCTTAAAAGGATAGATTCCTTAGGTGGTCAATCGTACTTAGATAAAAAAGATTGGTGATAACTCCTTCAAATCAATGTCTAACGATAGATCCTCGGATCTAAACGTTATGATAACATGCAAGTCTAATTGTTAGATGTTAGAGCAATGATAGACAATTAAAAAGATCAAACTGTCTTATATATTTTTACCTAAATCATATTGTGCTAGTTAAAAGGAATACTATATCCAAGCTATTGAACTTTTTCCCATCCCACTTAATAACACACCATTAAAGAGGCATCTTTAGTGATTTGAGGCCAGTTTGACGAGTAGGCTACCTCCAAAACGTCAAAATTAAAGAGGCTGTCTTGCAATTCTTAAATCATTGAATAAGGACAGCACATGAGAATGCCATCCATCTAGAAACATTATTTATTATATATATCTTGGAAGGATAGATATCGATCTTGCTACGATCATGGTACCATAATTGATTCCGTAAATTCCTAGCCAACTACTCCCTTGAATCACTGGCCATCAGCCTGTAACAATACGACTACTGTTGACCTTTTTATTTTACATACTAAATTCGTGCATGATACATGAAGTACAGTGGCATTGGTAAGTTTACTTTAATATGTAATAGATGCCACTTGAGGGACTTGCACAGGAAATTTCTCGATTTCATCGATCCAAGGATTCTTCTCCGTGGTTGGATTGATTGTTTTCAGTGCACGCCAAACAGCACTGTTGCACTTGAATCCTGATCCGAACGCAATTTGCCATATCCTATCACTCTTCTTGATTCTTCCTTTGGCCTCTGAGTAAGCCAATTCATACCACAAAGAACTGCTTGAAGTATTGCCAAACCTGTAAAGAGTCATCCTGGAAGGCTCCATGTGCCATTGAGTCAGGTCCAAGCTTTTCTCTAACTCATCCAACACACCTCTCCCCCCTGCATGGATGCAAAAATGCTCAAATGCCAACTTAAAATCTGGAATGTATGGCTTTATCTTCATTTTCAAAACTCTTTTCGCCAATAAAGTCGCGAAAAATAGGAGTTGTTCGGACAGGGGAAGAACCAATGGCCCTAGTGTTGTGATATTTGCTTTTAGGGCTTCTCCGGCGACTGCCATGAGGTCTTTTGACAATGTAACACCTACTTTGTTGATTTCATCTTCTTGTTGAAATACACAATTGTAACTCTTATCTTCGGCACCTTTGTGGGTTCGAAGGGTGTGAACAAGTTCATACTTGGAACGACGTCGATCTAATGATCTATTTGATAGAAGAATCGCGGCTCCGCCAACCCGAAATAGGCAATTTGTGACGAGCATCGACCGATTATTGCCGAAATACCAATTGTGCGTGATGTTCTCCGTACTCACCACTAAAGCATATGAGTTGCGATGCACCTAATACATTAATTGATAAATTAAATAAGATTAAAGGATAAAAATACCATTAACTATAATTCAATAATAATTTAAGCTTTTAACATTTTATTACAATCAATCAAGTCCTTAATTTTTTATTTTAACTCAATTGAATTCTTAAATGGATAAAATCTAGTTATGTAATAAAATTTAATTAATTAATCTCTAACTTATAGTCAATTGATCTCTAGATGCATCTTAGAGAGGGACATTGGAAAATAAAAAAAAAAAAAAGAAAAACAAAGAAAAAATTTAATTTTGTTTAATCTTCACATATATCAATTATGTCACATGATAAACTTTCATTTATTTTATTGATGGCATATGAAATTTTATCTTAATTGGCAAAAACATTAGCAATGTTAATTTTTTTTATTTAAATAAGGTTTTAATTGAATGCAAATAAATGATAGAAGAATTAATTGATTGTAATAAAAAAATAAAAATTTGAATAATTTTTTTTAATAGTTCAGGATTTTTTATACCCTTTAACCCTAAAATAATTTTCAGCCTCGTAAGTTTGGGAATTGGAATAATTTTAGAATTCTTAATAAAATTATTATACCATGCCCTTGTAAAGTTCCAAGTGAACCTTATTAAATTCAATGAAACTTCACTTTTTATACACACGCAGCCCATATGACCATCTATAAATTTATATGACTTAATATTGCTTCAAATCTATTTCAAAATAATAATAATAATAATAGAATACTTCAACCATCAAGGTAATTTTTTTATATATTAATGTATGACCTTTGAATAATTTATTAAAGTTTAAAACAAACCAGAAAAAAAACCTAGAACTTATTTCAAATGATTCATGCACTTCACTTAAGAGATGAATCCTTACAAAATCAGTATTATATCCCCAACACTTACAAATTTTCTCTTTCTTCAGTTCTCTTCTAGGTTATATCAGTATTATATCAAGACATAAAAAGAATTTATCAACAATTATTTTGCTAAAATAAGATAAATATCTATTGTGTATCACTATATGTAATAGTAAACTTTCTAAAGGGGCTAATTGCTTAAAAGTGCCATGCAATAGTCCCTCAGAGAGCTTAATTCGGTGCTTGATAAGTGTCAAATACGTAATATCATAGGAAAATTTAAAAAAAGAAAAAGAAAAAAGAAAGGAAAAGCAAAAAATAAATAGGGAAATTGAATTTTTTTTTTAATTTTCTCTCCTATTAATTGCCTTTCATTATTTTTAGAAAGAAATGTTTTAGATGAAAAAGTTACAAAAGGAAAAAGGTAAGGAAAGAAAAGAAAAGAAAAATAAAAAAAAAGTGAGACTTTTTCTTTTGTCTTGATAAATATTTTACATACAAAAATTAAAAATATCAATAGTAAATTATACATGTACATATAATTAAAGTTGCTCTTAGACAACTTCCAATTGAAGTGCACGTTATCTACTCATTAACATGTGGTAACTTATTTATTTATTGCTTTGGGTAGAGAAAAGAAGAGAAAAAAAGGGAAAGAAAATAAAATAAAATAAAGAGAGAAGGAAAGGACAAAAAAATTAAAACATAGAAGTTTTTATTTATTATTATTTATAATAAAAAAAATTTAAAATCTTAAAAATAAAATAATGAATAAAAATATAAAACAGTCATGTAACTTTTTGGTACAATGCTAAATTTTTAATTTCAGTTATTAAGATTCACAACTATAAACTACCAAAACAATAAAAATCATTTCCTCAAAATTTATTATTGGTATATTTTTGTTTCAAAGGATCTTAAAAATAATTTATAAAAAAATTTAAAAAATTATACATTTAATCAAATGATTAATAAAATTTGGAAGAAATGGTTTTGATTTATATTTATTACATAGCATAAAATTTATGATTTACACATCAATTTATAGATTTTATATATCATTATTATATCATATGATATTACCGCATTAACAAAAAAAAAATTTATGTATTTTTTTAGGAGTTGTAAAAATAGCATTCCATTCAATATAAACTATGTTTAATTAGTGAGAAAAACTTAGAAACCTGTAAAAGTTCTTTGGCAAGGTCTATAGAGATGATCCCAGCACTGCAACCCATGCCACCAAGATTATAGGTGAAAATATTCCCTCTAAGCTTGTAGTGATTGACAATGGCAGCCGAAAGCGATGGTGTTGGATTGAACAAACTGCTGTTCACCACGAGAATTCCAATATCTCTTGGTTCCACCCCAGTCTTTTCAAACAGCTCATCGATTGCTCCAAACATAACTGTCTCAGTTTCTTTTCGTGCCTCCGCCATACATTGCTTTCGGGGGATCTGCATCAAGGCTTTAGGAGCATATGTCGTTTGACCAAAACCTGATCTTTCCATGATTTTCTTTTGAAACCTTAAACTTTCTTCAGTGAAGCATTCATTTTTTGCAGACAACTGCATGAAAAGCTCTTTACTCAACATATGATCCTTTTCAGGCTTGAAACATGCGAAATTCACTAGGTAGACATTTCTTGGACGGCCCATGAAGTAAAAGGTAGCCAAGAAAATAGTGGAAACTGACAACAGACATATTGTTACATAACTGAACATAAGGTTTTCACTCAACTGAATGAAATCTTCAACTGTAAATGTTGAAAGATGAGTTAAAATGATGGAAAAGAAGGGCACAACAATGAGGTACAAAGCGTTGGAAACCAAGTAATGGTAACCAAGCTTCACATATTTCAGTCTAACGGAGAGAGAAAAGGTCGATGTTCTTGGTTCAGGAAGAGCTTGAACCAAGATTTGTTCATTCTCTAGGGTTTTTTTCTCTCCATTCATCATTTTTATCATTGGAGAAGTTAACAATGGAGAGTTTGCCATGAGAGACTAAGAAATTAGTAATTTATAGGGAAAATGGCAGGTGGAGGATCAATTTTTTTTAAGAGTATATATTTACAACATATATATATTTTATAAATTCATTAAATTTTTTAACGAAAAAGTGTTCAAAAAAATTTTAGGAATGGTTGTTTTAAAAGTTTTTTAAAATTTTGATTTTTGAATGTCTAAATCAGAACGTGCATCTGTTACCGTGTTTTGGGTTCTTTTCGGTTCCAAGTAGAAACACATTAAAAATGCATCTGCCTTTGACAATGGGTTTGGATATGAAAAGGAATGCGGGGAGTAATTACAACTACCAACTAATGGGCAGAGTACCATTAAATGTTAGTCCAATATTATTTATTCTTCATAGATATTTCCTAAAACTTTACTCGAGGAAAATATTTTTTTATTTGGCAAAAAATATTTATATTTTCCTACCGTAATAACTATTTATTAAACCTGCAAAACGATGATAAGGAAAAAATCAATTTTATTGGAAATCCAAAGAGCTTTTGTATTCTTTAAAATTCAAATTCCGCTATTGTATCATGTGAAGAGCGCTTTTCGTAAGTTTGAGAGGTGCCACTATTTTATGTTTCTTGCAAATTATAAAACTATTTGAACATATATTTTTAAAATTCAAAATTTTAATAATCTTCTTAAAGATCCTGCTCAATTGTTGGTTTGACGGGCCACCCAACGTTCGCATTGGTTTAATCTAATATATATATATATATATATATATATATATATCTAGTAGTATTATGTACTATTTGCGAGGCACTGCTCTGGTTTTCCTAAGATTTTCATAATCTTTTATTTACTAAAAATTTTTATGAATTTTTTATAACTGTAAGTAATTTATTGGCTATTGCAACCCATTCGAGAAGTCTGGATACCAACAAAAGCCGTAGAAAATTTTAAGATGTATGTTAATATTATTAATGTTATTTTCATTATTAATTGTTGACACTAAAAATAATTCGTAAAATGGGTTAAACTAAAAATAATTGGTAAAATGGGTTAAGGGATTTAGCCCCATTAAAATAAGTGATTAAGTTTAACCAAAATTAGAGTAACTATTGGGTATTGGGTTAATATCAATTAATTATATAGTGATTAACTAATTAGAACCTAATCCGAAAATGCCAAACAAGCTTTGGGTTAGTCATGGAGAGTCAATGATGTTTGGAGTTGATCCAAGTTAAAGCCAATAAGCACATTAAAATTGCTATCGCTATGGGTGCAAATTAATAAATTCCAACAAGAGTATAGTTTGGCAAACATTTAATTTGAGAAAATAGGCAACCGGCCATCAGGGATCATAAATTGCAAAATTTCTAACTCATCAAACACAATAATGGTATTATTGAACACAGAGTGTAATGAGAGAAAATAATGAATGGTAGTCAGGGGCGAATCTAGGGGTAGGCTAGGCCATGCCTTGTTCCCCCACCAAATAAAGGTATTTTAACTTTATCTCGGCCCTCTTTTCCAATTTGATTTATTATTTTGGCCTCCCATTCGCGGTTTTGTTGATTTCATATTTTCATCCCTTCTCCAGGCATACATGGCATTATATATAATTGTAATTAAACTATTTACCTATCCGTAGTTTTGCTTTTTCCTTTTTTTATTCTTTGGTTTTTATTTATTCTTTTTTTTTTCTATTCAATATCTTTAAAAAAAAAATGTAAAACATACGCCAAATGGAATTTTAGTGATATTTGTTAAGGTGATTTTTTTTAATTATAATTTTTAATTAGCTTTGTTTTTTAAGAAAATTATTAATTTTAAACTCCAAATTATCTAATCCATTATTAGTGGAGTCTAAAATTTTCACTAACATATGCAATTTGAAGTTTAAAATCTTCACCGATAGTGTATAAAAAATGAACTTTTCTTTTTAAATATTTTGTTTTGATATTTGAAATTGTCAAAAAATTGAATCTTTATCACTATAACTAAGAGTTTATCACTTTATGCATATCAATATTAATGCAAAGTGATGAGGCATGTGTTAAAGAAATATGAAAATGGTTCTGGCCAAAAGATTAACATGGAGAAATCTTTGATTTATTTAGCAGGAATGTCAGTGAGGAGGGTAAAGAATGGGTGAGACAATTTCTTTGTGTGTATGAAACTTCTAGCCTGGATAGAATCTTGGATTTCCTATGACAGTAGGAAGAAACAAGAAAATGATTTTTGGCTACATAAACATTAAGGATAGAATTCGCTTAAAAGTTGGAAAATGGAGCGTCGTACTTTGTCAATGGGAGGAAAAGAAATCTTCATAAAGGTAGTTCCATAAGCAGTCTTGGCACACAACATGAGTTGTTTTTTGTTTTCTAAAAGGTTTTGTCGGGAGATAAACAACCTAATCAACATATATTGGTGGAGTTCCAAACCAAATCAAAAAGATGTTCATTGGCTATGGTGGGACAGAATGTGTTTGAGCAAAAAGGAAGGTGGTATAGGTTTTAGGCATTTTGTGTTATGGATCACATCAGCTCTGATATAATTTGTTAAGAATTACGATAGCTCTAATATCGCTTGTTAGGCTAAAAATCCCCAATCTAATCATACTACCAAAAGCAAAATCAAATAATCAATCAATTATACAAGAGACAACAATTTAACATAGTTTGGTCCAATTGACATATATCTACGGATGAAAAGAAAGAACAACCAGTTGTAAAAAATTACAAACATATAGCAAATCACTCTTACTTAGCAATTAATACCCATAAACCCTCTCAATATCTTTTAGTCCTATGAAATATTCTCAATCTAAACAAACACATATCTATGTGCACTCATGCACCATACCTTTATGGACCTTATCAATTTCTTATAATTCACTCCAACATACATATCCATACTTATGTGGACTATCTCAGTGTTTTCTAGTCCACTTATAAACATTCAAACATACACACCCCTAAAATGTAAATCTTTAATAGTCTAATGGGGTGTTTATCTCATAAAACCTTACAACTCTCTTATATCTTTTTCTCATACTTAACCCTCTAAAGACTTCATATATTTATTAGTGTACAAACTTGCCTATTAGAAATATTTTTCCTCTTAAAATTCTTTTTCTATAAGTTTTCTTGTCCATTAAGCAATATCTAGCCAATTTTAAATAAATTACTTATGAGATTTGAGTCATTATTCCTGACAATCTCTACTTTAACTTAAATTCCATCAAACATATGTTTTAATGCTAGACATGCTTGGCTCCACTTACAATGAAAATCTCACAATCATCTTTTCTTATTTATCTTCATGCTTCACACAAATCAATATTCAAATCTAAAAATATAAACTCAAAATTTTCTCTTGAATAGAGCTTATTTAGGCATGCCTCTTCTCATGGCTCGAACCTTCAACTATGATGTCACTTGTTAAGGATCACAATAGCTCTGATACCATTTGTTAGGAATTACGATAGCTCTAATACTACTTGTTAGGCTAAAAAGCTCCAATCCAATAATACCATTGGAAGCAAAATCAAATAATCAATCAATCATACAAGAGACAATAATTTAACGTAGTTCATTCCAAGCAACCTACATCTATGGATGAGAAAAAAAATTCACTAGTTGTTGAGAATTACAAACATACATCAAATCAATCTTACTCAACAATTAATACCTATAAACCCTTTGAATCTCCTCTAGTTTTATGAAGTATTCTTAATCCAAACAAATATATATCTATGTACACTTATGCACCATACATATGTAGACCTTTTCGATCTCTTGTAATCCACTCCAACATACATATCCATACCTATGTAGATACTCTCAGTCTCCTCTAGTCCACTTATAAACATTCAAACATATACACCCATAAGACGTAAATCTCTAATAGTCCAATGGAGTGTCTATTCTATAAAACTCTATATCTCTCTTACATCTTTTTTCTTATACCTAACCTTATATAGACTCCATCTATTTGTAGACACCCAATTTGGCCCAGGCCCGGATCAATTGGGCCTGGACCAAATGGGTAAGCCCAATTTTGCTTTTATTTTATATTTTTATTATTGTTTTACTTTTCTTTATTTTTTTTATTTTTTTTTGGGCTGAGATTGAATTTTTTTGAAGAATCCTATCGTGAATGGGGATTCAATTAGAATCCAGATTGGATTCAAAGATTGAATCTCCATCCAAAAAGGAATAGGGATTGATCAAAAACTCTTCTGATCAATCCCTATAAATAGGTACTGGAACAGAAGGAAAAAGACAGAGAAAAATAGAAGGAAAAAGAGTACTGGTTGAGAGAAAAAGGCAGACAGAAAAGATTTGAAAGCTGAAAAAGGGTTTAAATGCGTTAGAATAGCTTTAGAAATCGTTGAGAAATTTTTGAAGATTTTTCTACGAATTTTTCTGGAAATTTTAGAAAATTTCCAGATTCGGGTTGAATTTTCTGACAAAAGTTAAATTTTTCGGTGATAATTTCGGTCAAGATTGAAGTTTTCGGTCAGCTGCCCAGTTTTCAGTGAAGATTCCCAGAAATCTACCAATTTTCTGACGAACTTTCGGTGAAAAACCCAGATTTTGATGAATTTTTTAAAATTCGATGAATATTCAACCGAAATTCTTCAAAAATTTTAGAGAGAATGAGAAAAAGATGAAGGAAGAGAGAGAGGGAGGAGGCTCGATCTGCTGAAAAAATGAAGGAATCAACTTTATATTCCCTCTCAAAACGACGTCGTTTTTGCGTTAAGTAACCTAGAGGATCCGCGCGTTTTATCGAAATCCGACCCTACCCGAGTGTCGACCCGCTTTCGACTCGCACGTGTCTCGCTTCTCTTAGCCGTTAGTCGAGTCGAGCTGACACCCCTGAGCTGTTTCTCTGAGCTGTTTTCTTTCTTAAGCCGAGCCGAGCCAAGCCGTTCCAGGTTTTTTTTTTTCATTTCCTTTTTTTATATATTTTATATATTTATTTTT